ATATATATATATATATATATATGGAACCTTCCTTGATTTTGAAAAAAAATGATTAGTAAGAAAGAAGAAAAAAGGAAGGAAAAATAAGGAGTTGTGAATAAAGGGAAGATTAGGTGTGGAATGGAAAGTAAAGAAATGATGAAAAATATTTTTGAAGGAAGTGTGCTTTAATTGTTGCAAATTATAGTGCTTAGGGAGGTTTTGGGTGACTCTTATCCAAATTGTGCCCTACCTTAACCAAAAACCTACATTACAATCCTCTAAGTCCTACTTGATTTTGAACTAAGTGTGTCTGCATTAGTGGAGAAATACCTGAAGGGCAAGTCTATGGCGCTACTTTTGTGCATTTGAATATCTTTGTGAGAGTGAGAGTTAATTCTTTCCATTTGATATTCCATTTATATTTAAATTACAATTTATAAGTTGGGATTCTCTCTTAAGTATGAGGACACATGAAATTTTGAGTTGTGAACTTAATCCAATCTCTAATTTAGAGGAATGAACAAGGGAAAGTTATTTGTGATAAAGAGGCAAATTTTGAAGCTCTAGTGCCATGACTTGATTGCTACTTTGACTAACTTGGTGTTTGAGCACTTGAAATGAAATGATATTCTTATGAAGTTGTCGGTGATTCATATGCCTTGGATTATTTGTTGATACCAACCGAAGTCGCTAGATTGTGTTTAATTTGAACATTTTTGACTTGAAATGTATTTGGTAAGCTTAATTGATGATTTTATAGAAGGATGTTTTTAGTTGTTGAATTACTTGAGGACAAGCAATAGTTTAAGTTTGGGGGTTTGATAAGTTGGTATTTACCAACTTATCTCGTCGTTAATCTTAGATTCTTGCTATGTTTGATCGAGTAAATCGCGTGTTTAATGTCATTTACATCCATTTTACGGGTTTTATGTGGTTTAGAAGTGATTGTGAAGAAACCAAGTCCAAAAAGGAGCTAAAATGAAAACAGGAGCACTGCCTAGTAAATTACCCTTCGCGAACACGAAGGGTTAAATGCAAACGCGGAGCTTCAGGAAACAAACTTTCCCAAACGTGGAGTGTTGTTCGCGAACGAGAAGCTGGAGGAAACAAACCTTCGCAAACACAAAGGGACAATCGCGAACGCGAAGTTGAAGGAAACAAACCTTCGCGAACGCGAAGAAGAAATGGGCGAAAAAACTAGGCAGTTCTAGAATTTCACATTGTTTCATCCCAAACCCTTTAATACTCGACCTAGCTCATTTGTAAAATATCTTTGGCTTATTTTTCAGTTCCTAGACTAGAGAAGACAAGTTTTGGAGCTAGGGTTCTTGCACACACACTTTGGTCTTGAAGATTTGAAGCTTTTGGTTGAGAATTTCTTACCCATTTATGTTCATTTCTTCATTTCCTTGCTTGGTATTGTATATCTAAGTATGTAGTATTTTTTTCAACAATTGAATCTTGTTTATGGGAATATTCATATTTAAAGTGTGGATTAAATATCTTGTTGTGCTTATGTATTGAACGATTTTTGTTTCTTATGAAGTGAGTTGTTCTTTCTTTAATTATTCTTATTCTTTTATGTTTCCAAAGGGATTAGCTAACCCTAGGACTCACCCATATACTTCGAATTAATTTTGGGAAAGATAATTTGGGTTGGGATTACAAGAACTTGAGGCTTTAACCCTCACTTTATAGATTCTACCTAGGGATATGATTGAACTACTTGTACCCATATTCAGGCCTGCTTAATATCATACTCCCTCTGTTTCAATTTATGTGAACCTATTTCCTTTTTGGTTCATGCCAAAAAGAATGTCTCCTTTTCTTATTTGGAAACAATTTACCTTTATGCAATGATTTATAGCCACACAAAATATATGTGCCTCATTTTACACCACAAGTTCAAAAGTCTTCTCTCTTTTCTTAAACTCCGTGCCCAGTCAAATGGGTTCACATAAATTGAAACGGAGGGAGAAATTGTTTTAGGAATAATTCAATTAGGAAGTCGTGTTAGTCTTCAGAAGAAGCTCATGAATTATTACCCGAGGCTAATTAACATGAATTCGCTCATATTTATAGAATCGTGAAATACATTGGATCCTTACTTGAGTGTAATTCTCACTGCATCCATACTTGTAGCCATTGATCATTTTACTTACTTTCTAGGTTAGATTACGTTTCTGGATTTAGACATAAATATTCTCAAAACCATTCTAAGTGTTTGGATTAGCATAATAAGTGATAATTCTCTTACACGCCTAATTGCCTACATTTTGTTCTCAGTGGGATTCGACCCCGACTCATAGTTAGGTAAATTATATTTCATTAGACCGTGCCCATTTACTTTTTAGTAGTGGATTTGGAAGTCATCAATATGTAATGATCCGGCCAGTTGTTTTAAGTATTTTAGTCCCATGTCCTTTATTTGATGCCTTACATATGTATTTTTGTGGTTACGTGACTTGTCGGGGTGGTTAGTTTGGTTTCGGGGAGGTTTTGGAGTGAATTGGGACCTAGTCCTAAGGTTAGAAGCTTAAGTTGTGAGAGTTGATCGGAGTTTGATTTTTGTGTAGACGACTCCGGAATGATGTTTTGGTGATTCCAATAGATTCGTATGGTGATTTTGGACTTAGGTGTACGTTTGAATATGGATTTGGTGGTCCATAAGTTGTTGGTGTTATTCGGCAAAGGTTGAAAAGTTGAAGGTTTGGAAGGTTGATAGGTTTAATCAAGAGTTGACTTTGTTGATATCAGGTTCGGATTTTGGTTTCGGGGATTTTAATAGGTCCGTTGTGTCATTTGAGTCTCGTGTGCAAAATTTGAGGTCATTCCGATTTGATTTGATTTGGTTCAACATGAGTTTTGAAAGTTGAAAGTTCGTTAGTTAATTAGGCTTGAATTGTGGTACGATTTATGGTTTTGATGTTATTTTGTGTAATTTGAGACCTCGAATAGATTCGTATGATGTTTTAGGACTTGTTGGTATGGTTGAATGGGGTCCCGAGGGCCTTGGGTGAGTTTCAGATGGGCTTCGGATTGTTTATGGCTGTTTGGGATGATCAGGTCTTATGCTTTTGCACCTGCGACTTCTAGACTGCAAGTGCATATTTCCGCATCTTTGAGTCCGTAGATGCGGACAAAAGGGTGGAGCTGGATGTTTAGCATATGCGAGGGGATTTTTGTAGATGCGGCTTCGCAGATGCGGGTGAGTGAATGCAGGTGCGCGTGGTCGGGAAATTAGTGGGACTCGCAGATGCGAACTTTGGACCGCAAATGCCGTGTCACAGCTGCGACTCAGTAGATCACATATGCGGTTTTGCTGAGCAGAATATTTAATATCGAGAGGTTAGTCATTCTTTTATTTTTGGAGTTGTGGAGCTCGGTTGGTGGCGATTTTAGGAGGGTTTTTCATCACAATTGAATGGGTAAGTGATCTCTGCTCAATTTCGGTGTTAGATATTGATTACCCATAGATTATTACACCTAATTTACATGAATTAAAAGTGGGATTTGAGGGTTTATTGGACTATGATTTTGGAAAATAAGATTTGATGATTTTAAGGTTGATTTGAGGTTGGAATTGGGTAAAGCACATATATTTGGACTCGTATCCGAATGGGTGTTCAGAATTGTGAGCTTTATCGGGTTCCGAGGTGCGAGCCCATGGTTGACTTTTTGGGTTGACTTTGCATAATTGATTCAAGATCTAAGTTTTATTATTTGAAATTGTTTCCTATAGATTTTATTGATGATAGTAAGTTGTTTTGACATATTCGAGTCGCTCAGAGGTTGATTCGTCTGGGAAGGGCTTTTTAGAGTATTGATTTTCGTGTTTTGAGGTTAATTGGATTCTAGGATAATTATCTCTGAGAACTATGATATTTGAGATGTGTTGGGGTTGAAGCACATGCTAGGTGACGAGCGTGTGTGTGTGTACCG